CCCCCCCCCCCCCCCCCCCCCACAAAACCAAAAAAAAAAAAAAAACCCCGACTTTTTTTCTAATTATAGAATGTGAAGACAAGTCAGATCCTTACCCGCAGCACAAATTTATGTAACAAAGGAGAAGCTTTTATCAGAGAAGTCAAACCAAGATGGCTCTCGTCATCCCTTCCCCATACTGCCACTTCCAATGCCTTGAGATTGTTGAATTCAGGAATTCAAGAGCCCCAATATTCTTCTGCACATCCAAACACGAGTAAGATGTGAAAGACAAGTAAACCATACTTAAAAGAGCAAAAAATTGTCATACTAACCTGAATAACAGCATCCAATATAAGCGTTTCTAGCTGAGATAGATACATTGAGAGGTTCCAGAATTGGGGTTTAACCAACTTTGCAAAGTATTTCCATCCAATAGATAACTCAACAAGTGAGGGCATATTCATAAAAGGAAGATCGATCTGAGGTCCACAGTATTTGAATGACACAAGATTTGTTGCATAGATATCAATATTTTCCAAATAATTACAGTGGTATATTTCTAAGTATTTCGAGTAGAGTGATGGCTTAGTAACTTTAAAATTTACCAAAGAATCAGAACCTGTCACATGCAATTGCTCAAGAAAGGGACAGGCGGATAGAAAATGCCGAAGAACTTTCCTACTTACATTCACATACACCAACAGGAGGGTTCTTAAGGAATCAAATTTGGAAAAAGCGATAGGGTGACATGGATATCTGATTGCAATTTCCTTACAGACATCCGTGGAAAAGTGTAACACTTATTTCTACCACCTCCCATGTAATCTGACAAATCCAACTCGAGCCTTTGAACTCTCTTTTCAATTGCAAAATTAATCCACTTATCGATATCTTTTGCGGAACTTGCACCCAAAAGAAAATGAACTCTGAATAGTTCTATGGAGGGACCCTGATATGAATTCAAGACTTGATTTACAAAACTCACGTACTTGTGAGCTTCCTTTTTAAGTGACTTGCATCCCAGTTTCAAATCATGCAACCTCTTGGAATCATCAAAGTTCAAAACTGGGATATATGTCCATAAATAGCTCCATATACGTGATAGAAGACTAGCACTTACAGCTTCGATCACTGTTAAGCGACTCAAGATGGAGACAAGAATTTCATCTGGCAACTGGCTAATACGATCCTCCAAAGTATTTGCTTCTCTTGCTACACTGAGAATTGTGAACAAACAACAATCCGTTAGCAAAATAAGAACAACACAAAATAAAAAACTTGTTTAGCATTACTCAAGTATCCTACTGGTAAAATAAAGGAACTAAAATGACAGGATTTGTTAGGCAGTCATGGTGATTTTGTGTGCTGAAACAAGATAGAAATTAGAGGACCATAAAGAGGACATAACAAAAAAAAAACAACGAAGAAGAAGAAGAAGAAAAAAAACAACTTATCATATTAAAGGAAGTGATCATAATAACAGTAAATATGTTATTCCTTGTTACTGCGCCACAGCCCGCCCCAAAAAAATAGGACAGCAATAAAAGCTAAAAAATATAGACATAAATAATCTCACAGTATCTGGATTACAGCAAAAGAAACAATGTGATCACAACTACAGGAGTGACAAAGGCACTGATGAACAAGTGAAGGTGGTGGAGATGTTCGAGCTGTGGTGGTACAACAACAGTAGTATTGATAGCACTTGAACAAGCGGTACTCTTGGGATGGTACTTCAGGCCAGTGGTGTTTATTCTGTAACTGTTTTCAAATTTTCTTTCACACAACTGCTATTTTTTGTATCAGAAAATTTCTTCGTTTTCAATTTGTCTGTAACAAAAACTAGGCACAACAAAACACAACATGACCCAATTACTTGACACAAATTGAGGTGAAATTAGCGGATTTAGATTTGATTTACACGAGTTCAAGGGGTAAACCAGTACACTGGCATAACAAACAAGTCATGTTCAAATAAAATATCATAACCTATTTATCCCCCGCTTACCCATTTGATAAATCAATATATCAGTCGATTAACCGATTAACACATGATTACTCACTTATCACCCGATTATCTGTTTACATCTGATTACTCGTTTAGTAGATGATCCAATTTATTGTAAACCTAAGACTTTCAATTAGCGGGTAATTCGCGTATAGTGTTCAATTTTATAATATGCGCTCGTTTTGATTATTTTTGATACGAACCTACTAAAACCTCTCACGAATCTACACGACCAGGCACGATTGGGAGGCCTAACAAAAACCGCGATTTTGAATATCCATATCATTCGGGTGTCCACAATTCTTTAGCAACCAAACCCTTTTCCCCATATGAATTTGTTCTTGTATTCTCCCTCTCTCAAATCAGAAACCCAATCAACATAACAAAAAATAAGTAAAAATCTAGAGAAATCAATAGTGGATCACATATTAGCTGAAATTACACATAAGAACGCTTCTAATCTAAAATTCAAACATGATTTGGTGGAACTTTTATGTAAATTACGACACATTAGCAGGCCCAATTAAAGATCTGAATTCATGCTCTCACATAAATAAGTAATCTTTTCAATGTTCATGCTGAGAAAAGAACAAATTTTGAATAAATAAAGAGGCATACCTTGTTTTCGGATGGGAAGAAGCAAACATTGTTGCGCAGATCATAAATTATGTGAGAGGAAAGCACAAATTGAGAACTGAAGAAACGGGTGGGGCTTGGACTTTGGAGGGCGTGCTTTCCGATCTCTGTGTGTGAGTGTGAGTGTGTGTGTGAGAGAGAGTGACGGACTAAACGAGGCCCTCAACTATTGAACGCAACGGCTGTGACCCTCTGTCGGGTATTGTCCCTGAATATATATAACAAAAAATACGATTTTTTATAATTATTTTTTCCCATACATTATTTTTTATTTATTATCCTCTTATATATTTAAATACTAATAAATTAGTTATTTTTATGTTCAACTTGTTGAACTTGAAATTGATACCGTCAATCCGTTTATTTAATTATGTCGCATTTCTTTTATTTTTTCATTTATATGTTAACAAGAAATTGATACAATTAATATGTTTAATTGTTATTATAAAAATAAAATATTTATTATTTGTTACTGTTTATTAAACACTTACATAATTATTGTATAAACAAATTTTTTTTACTATATTATTATTATTATATTTATTTAGTTAATTTTTAATTTATAGAAAAAGTATGAATATGGATTCAATTAAGTGATAACAAAATCTTAAACTTCAATCTTAGCGTTAAATTTTTTTATTTAAATTTTAAATGGGTCAACACAAATACGAATACATTTGCATGCATAGCCCAACGGTATAGTGTTGAACCCAGACGAATTATAGACCTAGACGTCAAGGGTTCTACTCTCGTTGGCATCTTTCGGGGTTTAACCGATACACGTGAGTAATTGCAAGTATTTAGGATTTACTCTTGCAGGAATAGATCTAAAGTGACCTTACTTTGAAGAGGTTCCGCGTCTTAAAGAAAATACACGAATACGAGTTTGAATACAACTCAAAAATAAATAAGTTAGCTTACTTTTATTCAGAAATAATACGGATATTAAGGTGTAAAAAATTGATGATGTAATCATTTTTTTGTGATCGCCAATAATGTTGCTAACAATGGGGGTATTTTGTAAAATGGTAGGTAAATATTCAGGGGTGTTAGTGTAATTTAAAAAAATTGGGTTTTAATGGGTACCATCGTTGGGTTTCCATGAGATCCTACCTAGGTCAATGAAATCCAATAGATTTAACCATGGATGATTGAACTTAAGTCAAATAGTCGAGATTTAAAACTACGAGGATCTAATCAGAATGGAGCTAAATTGTTCAATCTCTAGGAGGTCTATCCGCTTCTTAATCATCTATATAAAAAATAATTTTTGTTCTTTGCAATTGGTATGGTTTAAATTTTACTTTAAGCTTAATTCAACAAATATATTAACTCCTCAAATTTAATAGAAAATAACCCCTAAAAATATATTTATGGTGACTTTTCAAAAAAACTTGTAAAACTTATAAAAAAAAAGAGTAGTACTTGAAATAACTGATTTTAATTACTTTCAAATAAGTCATAAATCTCTTCAAAAAAAAAAATAAGCCATAAATAATTTTACTACTTAAATAAGCAAACAAAATAAAAAAAATCTACTTCTTTAAAATTATTTCTCTATAAACAACTTCACCGTCGTCACTGCTACTGCCACCCCCACCAACACTACCACCACCACCCTACCCTCGCCACCACCCACCATCACCACCATTATTGTCACCCACATCGCCCATTGCCACCGCTAACACCCACCATCACCATCGTTGCACAATATCGCCCAATACCACAACCCAAACACCACCCATCATTGCCCACTACCGCCGCTACCCACTACACTTACCACCATCATCCACCACCCATTGTCACCTATCCCACCACACCTTCCACCCCACCCACCACTCGCAGCCACCCACCACCACTTTCATCCGTAAGCACCATCTATCACCATCACTATTGCCACCTACAACTGTCATCACCATCACAGTTATCGCCGCCTATTACAACCATCACCGTCTCTCACTATAACTACCACTGCTCATCCGTACTATAACTTGTGCTTAAATTCCTTTATCTTTTTTCTATGTTTGTGATTTAATTTTGGATGTGAAATATAAATAAAAATATAAATACAAATACATTTATGATTGATAATTTTTTTTATTATTCTGTATCTTTAAGTACGGACAATAATTAGTCTTTATATATATTAGGAAATTCACAAACTTATACAGGGTATACTATTCAATTAAGGAAAAAATACAGGAGGAGGAGAGAGGGTGGCGGTTGAGAGAAAGAAAAAGAAAGAACATAGTTAAAACAAATTGTTACATAGCAATAGACCACCTGAACTTATTCTTTGTCGCCCTTTCCATCTTTCAAACAAGAGATCTTCATCAGTTTGAAGCTGAAGATACGCATTCATGTCAAAATGTGAACTCTCGGTACTTCCAAGGTCTCTGGATTTGCTTCCACTTCCTTCTCCAGTATCCATTGTATGCCCGTTGAGTCCTGGGCACCAACTCCCATGGCTGCTGGTGGAATGACTACCCAAATCCTGCATCAAGGTCACATCCTATATAATTACGAGTTAATTGAAAGTACAACAGAAATAATAAGAGATGATAAAATTAAAGGTTAAAGTTATACAACTAGCATGCTTCATGAATAAATCCCAGGGAGAGCAAAGCTTATATCAAAGAATTCTTAGGTGACTGATGGACAATGTCTTATTTTTATGATCTGTTGATCTTGCTACTTCTAGTGTGATTAAATTAATGTTGCTAAACATGATTTGGAAATCGGATGTCATGCTACCTCCATGAACTTATATCAATGCATTTTATTTTGAGTGGACCTATTCTAAACAGGGAGGAAACAAAAATGAGAAACTTTATTGAATACACATATAAACATATGTACCAAGCACAATTTGAAAATGGTTCATCTGAAAATATTCACACCTCTCCTTGCAGAGCAGTCAAGTCTCCTGATGAGACACGACTGCACCTCGCTGGTCCCCACAGATTTAGGTTGTTCTCTAATGCAAAGCCAATGCACATCCCAACTTGACTAAGAAACTCAGCAGGGGCATCATCACCCAGGTTGGCTAGTGTGCAAGAATATACAGAAAAAAAAAATCAATATAACAGGGTTATATTATCCAACTGGCATGTCTAAACCATCTGCCATACATCATGGCTTCGGCATACAATTAGATCAATATAGATTGGGGCAATCTGCATCATTTGTGCAACCTAAACAGTGACTGATTACACGCCGTGTCTTGGGATCTCCTTGGCCAGGAAGCACGACCCTACCAGCCAACTCCTGCTCTTTCTAGTTTGCCCCTCTCTAGTACCCCAATTTTGCTTGTGATGCAGCATAAACATAAAAATTAAAACAAAATCATTTCAGGAATGCAATTCATAGTTCTATCATCTATGTCAGTTCTATCACCTTACATCTTGCTCATTAAAAAAAAAAAAAGAATAGAAATATTTACTATACAATTAGAAGGAAACAAAACTATAAGGTGAAATATGTGAAAATAAAAATACAAAAACCCAAAATTATTCATGTTCACCAAGCCTCTAAATTCTTGTTCATATTTCTGCAAATTACCCTCTAAGGGTAACCAGTTATCGCTCTTTTAGTAAATTTTATAGTGAAATATCAGGCACTAATTTCTTACGAGCTAGTAAAGCAGCCTGCTACACAGTACTACTCAACCAAAAATATGATGCAAATGAGTTCATGAAGTGCCCTTGTTATTGATATCAGGGGTGCAAAATAATCAAATCACACAGACATGTCAAAGGTCGAGGGTCACCTGTGTTTCATCCCACAACAGAGTTTTTGGAATTACAGGAGTCGGTGATCTACTCTTGCCGGAAGAATAGTCATTATTAGTCCCCCATTGAAGCCAAGGCAGAATAACACCATCCATTTCGATAGGAAAAGAATTAGATCCTGCTAGAGGACTTAGATAAGGTTCAACTTCCCCACAATGTGTTGCAGCATCTCTAGGCTTTGTGATTCCTCCTAAACTTGAAGTGGTGTCACTCTTTTCTCCATCAAATGAAGAAATATCAGCATCTTCAACATTTGAAATGAAGTCCTCAAAGTATTTTTCTGCCTCTTCAGTCAAACTTTTTGACATCCCATTTCTGTCATTACTCTTCTGGAAAGTTGTTCAAAACATTTGCATTAACATTACACTACATCTATTTACGAATGGAAGCATATTGCAACAATCAAAATGATTGCCCAGAAATTGAAGATGATTAATGACAATATGCAAATCCTGCAATTGAGCAGAACTGGGAGGAGAGTACCTTTCTGCCTCGAGATGGTTTCCGTGCAACAGCAGAGCTCTTTGAATCAGGAATAAATTCTCTTGCAATCTTAGAGAGCTCTCTACCTCGTTGCTCCTCCAGCACTCTCTTCACAAGTACATCTTGTTTACGTTTCTCCGACTGTAAATGTAAGAAGAATAATTATAATTGATTCCTAGTTCTAAAGAATAACAAAACATTGATTTAAAAAATTCAATGCATGATGTATTTTTCAATGTTTGGTCATCATGGCTGCTTTCAGGTTAAAGCCCACCAACAGAAAGCTTGAGTCATCTGTCCTGTCAGGCACTCCCCCCCCCCCCCCCCCCCCCCC